TCCAACATCAACCGCGTCAAGCAGCTGGCCGAGGCCCTGAAGACGAACCGCTCCGTCCAGTCCCTCTTGTGAGTACAGCGGCGTTGGGGTGCTGCGGGGGTGCCCCTGGACCCCTCCCGGGCAGGGACGGGGCTTTCGGGGGGCTCGCGGCTCCCAGGCAGCCCCTGGATCTGAGTTTTGTCGGAGGAAAAACGCCCTTGATGCTGCAGAGCGTAACCCCTCGCCCTTAACCGGGCTGGGAAGGAGCCAGCTGTGCCCCACCGGCTGGGCATGGGCTTGGCTTTCCATTTTTTTTTTCGGGGCTGTCTTGGTGGCAGGGGCTGCTCCTGCCCTGCTGGCATCCCCTGCACCCCCTTGTCCTGGCTGGGAGAGGAGGGCTGCCGTAGCGGTGGCTGACCCTCACAGCAGAGCATTCCCAGTGCTTTTCCCCCTAACCTGGGGTTAGAATTTGTCATCCTCCTCTTTTCCTCTGCTTCCTCCTCCCCATGGGGTTAGTTAGCCCTCAGGAAGAAGGCTGCTTAGTAATTTTCCCTTTTACCTGCACAGCCTCCATGGGAGTCCCCTGACAGATGCAGGCTTGGCCCTCCTCAACCCTGCTCTCTCCATCCACCCCTCGCTGGTGGCTCTGGATCTAGGAGACTGCATGCTGGGTGATGAAGGCATCAACCTTATCTGTGGGCTTCTGCCACCTGATGGGGCCAAGTCCGGTAAGCACCGAGGGGCTGTGGGCTGCTCAATGACCAGTGGAGCTTCACATAGAGCAGATGCACACAGCAGTAAATCCTCAGCCCTGGTAGAGGCAGGCTCTGTAGTTTGTCTGAGGAATTTATTTTCCCAACTTAAGTAAAGCAGAAAAGCCAAGCAATAAACCAGAGGTTGCCTCAGGCAGGCATGGGCTTTCTGCTATTGATCTGTCCTGCTGGCAGCTTGGAGCTCAGGGACCAACAGGTTGATTCTGGTTCATGACAGGAACATTTGAAACTGGAGTAAGGGTTAGCTTGGACTTTGAATTTATTATTTTGCATTTGCATGTTGATAATGATAAATATGTGGTGTGCCCCCACCCAAGCACTTGGCGTCATTGTCAAAGCCTGGGAATTGTCCCTGCTTGCGGGTGCACTCTGTGAGCGTGCAGTTGGGCAGTCATAGCCTTAGCATCGCTGCTTAATCTCTACAGGGAATGACCTTGGGTGGTCAGAGGCCAGTGGGCCAGTTAAGCTAAGAGGTGGCATGTGCTGAGGTAACACTTTACAAAGTGCTTTATGCCTCTCCCCAGCACCTTCTTCTCTGTGTGCTCACCGTGCCACTGATGCTGGTATCTCCACTGGCCACCCCTCCCAGAAACAGTTTTCAGAGCCTACTGTCCCTGTTACCCTCTCTCCAACCTGTCACCTCATGCCACTTCCTTCTCGTGGTCAGTCACCTCACACAGCCCTTACTTGTTCCCGCTGTGTTTGCTATTTAGGGTAAGCAGGACACAGGCTGAGAGAGCAGAGAAATGGGGCAGTCACAGCACAGGCAAACGAAGGGACACTGTTGAAGGCAGTGAAATATTCCACTGATCAGTGAAATATGTGATGACAGTTGTCAGAGCAAACCAGACCCTTTAGCCTGTTGGACTACAAGGGGCGTGACCCAAAGGTGTTCTGGTTAGCTGAGGCAGTTCCCCTCAGGCTGCCCTGGTGACCCTAAGGCTCTGGTTTGGCTTCTCTCTCTTCTCCAGGCCTCAAGGAGCTAACGCTGAGCGCCAACCCAGGCGTCACAAGCAAAGGCTGGGGACGCCTGGCCATTGCAGTGGCTCACAGCTCCCAGCTCCGTGTGCTGAACCTGGACTACAACCCCCTAGGTAAGCTGGAGGGCTGGGGAGGAGGAGAGGGGGACGCTGCGCTCCTGCCCCTCAGCGTTTGTGCGATTTGTGCTGGTGGGCAGCCAGGAACCGAGCTCTAGAAGGGTGGCAGAGCTTCACCGGCAGGATGAGGCAGTTTCTTGCATAGGTCCCTCCTGATCT